TATCATGTCTTTGTTGTATTTATATCATTTTGTTATTGTTTATTTATTAATAAACTCATATTATTTTCACATACATTTTACTCATTTCCTTTCATCTTTGACACTTCTATTATAGAGAAAGGGCAGATAGCAATTTTAAAATATTTCCTCTAATTAATTCCCTTTTAATGTGCATGAATTTCATGCACTGGGCCACTAGTTAATTATAATTAAAATACTAATACATAAATACACGTTTAAAATCATTAGACCATTACAAAAGATAGAGTCTCTTTTGACTACCTTTCCTGATCCCTCTCTGTCTCATCCCATTTTTAAAAAATATATTTTATTGATTTTTTTACAGAGAGGAAGGGAGAGGGATAGAGAGTCAGAAACATCGATGAGAGAGAAACATCAATCAGCTACCTCCTGCACACTTCCCACTGGGGATGTGCCCACAACCAAGGTATATGCCCTTGACTGGAATCAAACCTGGGACCTTTCAGTCTGCAGGCTGACGTTCTATCCACTGAGCCAAACCAGTCAAGGCTCTCATCCCATTTTTTATGTTTTTATCCAGAAAGATATACTGTTAAAAATTCTATGTTTCTATATGTTTTTCAAAAATTACATTATTTTAAAATTTGCTAGTCATATGCAGGTTTATACATTATTAATGTAATGGATACTACAAAATTGCCCTCTAAATGAGTATATTAGTTGACATTTTCATGATCAGTTTATGGGCATATCTGTTCCTTAAAACATTAGAAATACTTGATTTGATCAATTTTTTTCTATCTCATAAATATATTATGATTGTTTTAATTTGTAGCTTTTGCTCAATCGTGAGTTTGAGCAATTTCTCATTTTTGGTAATCATTTTTTTAGATATTTTTTAAAAGTTCTTTTTGTTCTATAGTGAGTAGATATTATGGAATACTTATAATTGTGAAATATACACACACACTCCCCATACATTTGAAGAGAAAGAACATGACCTTTAAGATTCAAGATGGCTCTATGCTCTTCTGTTATCCCATCCTTCCATCCTTCCTCTGCAGTAATAACTATCCCACAATTTGTTCACTTTATTGCCTTGTTTTCATCTATACTTTTGCTGGACAATTTGGTATCTCAGAACAATATATTATTTGGGTTTTCAAATTTATATAAATGAAATCATTTGTACATATTGCTCAACATTCTATTCTTG